ACTCCAGAAATCACTGTCCGCTCTATGCTAAGGAACCTGGATGTAAATTTTTAAAAAAGTTAATTAAATTTAAAAAGAAAAGAAAAAAAAAAGTTTGGGCTTTTGCCTGAGGGTGCTGGGAAGCCATGGAGAGTTGTACCCAGGGGGAGGAACAGGGTTAGGTTTGTGCCTTCTGGAAGAAGCCAGGCTTCTCAGGCTCTGAGAGTCAGGGGCAGAGGGGTGGGCTGGTGCCCGGACACTCTGCGTCTTAGACGGAGGCTGGGGAACCGAAGCCAGGAGGACGGCTGGCCTGAAATTAGGACCCTGGTGTCCAGCGCGCTATTGGGAGCGTGCCTGGGCCCTGACCTTGGCTGGGACGTGGCTGGCACCACGGTGGGGGAGAGTCTGGCCATGGGAACACGGGCCTCCCTCAGCTTCCCTCAGCAAGGCAGACTGGTGACAGCTTCATGAGGCATCAGCTGGGTCCCCAGACACGCTTCCTGTCCCTATGGCCTGGGCCTGCAGGCTTTCTGGTGGCGGAGTGGGGGCTGCCCGGGGCATCGCATGAGCCCAGGAGAAAAGTGAGAGAGACAGAGACACATAGCCTGAGACCCTGAGATCCGGGGTTGGAAGATCCAGGCAGAGAGGAGGGTGCCATGGTGACTTCGAGTAGGGGGCTGGGGGCCCTGACTCCCGGGATCCTGCCTGGCTGGCTCCTGAGACCCATAAACACTGTGACCTGCCCTGTCGGGTGCGGCAGGACTCGAGCAGGCCCTTGAAGGCGGGCGTGCTATGAACGCTGGCCTCGGCTGCTGCCTCAGCCACCTTGCTAATTAATTAATTGCATTAATCACAGTGCCCACCCCCGCAGCGGACATCCGGGAGCCGGTCTGGGGTGGGGAGAGGCGAGCCGCAGCAGCGGTGGCCTGGAGATGGGGCTCTCTGTGCCTGGCTTTCTGCACCTGCCTCCCTGTCTCCCCCAACCATCTCTTAGAGGGTGGTTATCACTCCCTCTCCAGGCTGAGACCTCCCTGCCTTTCGGCAGCGGCCACACCCCTCCCCCCCACCCCGGAAGGACCCAGGACCCCCGCTGTGGGGTCTGATGTTTCTGGTGCTGGATCTCTAGGACTGCCCTCCCTGGCCGAGCCCCTCAGACAGAAGCTCTCACCGCTCTGCCCAGTCCACATTTACCCCAAAATGTTTCCATCCCTGAGACTCTGCCTGCCCACACCCCCCCCCCCCCAGCCCCGCAGGCCTTGATCTCTCTCCGCATCTGATTCCTGGGCCCTGAGTCTGTCCCTACATGTCTTCAACTCCCTGGCTCTCTGGTTTCTTCTGCCCTTGTCTCTCTCAGACTTTCTGCTTTCTGTGTCTGTCATTTCTCTCTCTAACAGCTTTATTTTTTTTTTAAGTTGATTTATTTATTTTGAAAGAGAGAGAGAGAGAGAGTGAGAGAGTGAGAGCGCTTGCACGAGCAGGGGAGGGGCAGGGAGAGAGAGAGAGAGAGAGAGAGAGAGAGAGAGAATCCCAAGCAGGCTCCTTGCTGTCAGCACAAAGCCTAATGCGGGGATTGATCCCACGAACTGTGAGATCACGACCTGAGCTGAAATCAAGAGTTGGATGCGTAACCGAGTGAGCCACCCAGGTGCCCCTCTAACGGCTTTATTGAGATTTAATTCCCATACCATCCAATCCGCCCATTCAAAGCGCACAGTTCAGCGGCGTTAGTATATTCCCAGATCTGTGCCTCCCTCATGGCAGTCCATCCCGGAACATCTTCACTGGCCCAAGAAGACGGCCCACATCCTTAGCTGTTCTCATATTCTCTTTCCTCTATGTCTGACACCTGAGAGGCCCTTCTTTCTGGGTGTGGGTCTCCTAGTCTCTGGAATTCGGCTCCCTGCTTTATCTCCTGGGGTCTCTAAACTCTCGGGGTTTCTGGTGTCTGTCTCTCACGGTCTACGTCTCTGGTGTCTATCTCTCACGGGCTGTATGTCTCTGACCCTGGGACCTCCCTGCCTCCTGGGTCTCCCCATCTCTGCCTGCCTCTCCGCATCTCTGATACCCTTTGTCTACGCCTGGGCCATCTCCCTGGGTCTCTCTTCTCCTCCCCCTCCTCCTCCATTTCTCAGCATGGTTGGGACATTAAAAATGTAACAGTGTCCCTGGCGGGGCGGGGGAGCTGGCCGGTGTGCCTTAACTCCCTGTCCTTTCTGTGTCCACCACTCCCTGCGCCCCCCACGTACTGCTGGCCTTGAGACTGGCCTGTGCCCTGACCTCCCTGGGTCCTGGCATCTCGTCACTGATGGCTGGGGGCTTCTGGGCTCCCAGTCCCTCACCAAGGCTCTAAATCTCTCTCCTTAGGCTGTTCCTGCCTTTATCCTGGTGCGTCTGTCCAGCTCCCTCCCCCTCCTCCACCTTTCTGGCCCCATCTCAGCATCTTTCTGTCCCACCCTTGTGGGCCACATTTCATCCTCCCCCCGCCCCCCCCGCCCCCCCATCTCTCTCGGTTCCAATCTAGGGTTTGTCCCTGACCCCATCCCTAAATTTGTTTCTGACGCATTCTCCGTCGCCTTCCGCCTTCCGTCCCCAGCCCTGTATCTCCCTCCCTGTCTGTGAATCCCTTCCCCGCTCCCCTCCCCACCTCGCTGCCCAGTCCCCCTTCCCTAATGAGAAGAGACAGCAGGCCCTCTCCTCCCATCCCCCTCCACTACGGGCTGACTGACAGGGAAGAGCCAAGAAAGCTAGGGAGGACTGGAGAGGAGGCGACCCAGCAGGGGGCCCAGGTGGAGAGCCCTCGGTCCCCCAGGGGCCGAGGAGGGGGGAGGCAGAGGAGCCAGAGACAGGCAGAGAGAGAGATGGATGGCAAGGAAAGACAGAAAGAAGGAGCTCTGGGAGAGGAGAGAGCCAGAGAAGCAGAGAGAGGCGAGAAATGAAGAGGGCAGGAGGTGGAGAGAAAGTGAGGGAAGGAGGGAGAGACAGGGAGAGAGAAAAGAGGGGAGGGAGAAAAGGTGGGAAGCAAAGGCACGGAGATGAGGGGTCAGGAGGGCGGAAGGCCCCCTCCCCAGGTGCTAAGAGCTTTCACACGGGCTCAGTGAGGCCTCTGAAGCCTCCCACTGGCCCTAGAGGGAAAGGGTTACTGTCTCTGTTTTACAAAGGAGGAAATGGAGCCTCAGGGGCACCTGATGGAGCAGAGCCCAGGAAGGCTCTGAAGTCTGACGCCTGGCTTTCTGCGGACTGGCTGTGGACCCCGGGAATGTGGCTTGCCCTTTCGAAGCCTCCGTGTCCCCATCTGAGAAATGGAAATAGGAACAGAGGACCTGTCTCCTAGGGCGATCTAGAATTCTCCATGAGATCACGAGTCAAGTCAAAGCCTGGCTCAAGGTCAGGTGGGTTCTGAGCGTTTCTCACAAGCGGCAGGTCTTGACCTCATGTCCCTATCTCTGACACCAAGGGAGAGCCAGTATCCAACTCGGAGTCAAGGCTTGGGATACAAATCAGCGACAAGCTGGGGCAAATGAGGTCAGAGGGATAGCCAGGGTTCAGGGTTCTCGCAAGACACCCCCCCACCCCCACCCCCTGCTCCCGCCTACACTTCCTGGGCAAACCCTTGGGAAACTCCAGTGTCCAGAGTTTCTAGCTGGGAATAAAGAGCCCAGTCACCTGCAAGGGGGCGGGGCCAGAACCTTCTTCACCTGTTCGTCCCAGCCTCTCCCTCCTCTGAGAGCTGCGCCCTCCCTCAGAGGGGTTGAGGGGACTGGGAGGGAGTCGGTGGGCAGAGCAGAGGGAGGGGCGGGGGATTAGGGCGGCGGCTCCTCGCGTCCCCCCCCCCCCCCCGCGGCGGCTCCAAGGGCGCGACCGGAGGAAAGATAAGGTCCCGAAACTTGGGAGTCCGGAACCGGGAGCCGGGGAGAGCTCCCGCCCCTCCCTGCCGGGGTTCAGCTAAAGTGAAACCGGTAAAACTTCCCCAGGGACGTCCCAGCCGACGGCTCACAAGGAAAGGGAAGCGTCTTCTTTCTTCAGGGGACACAGCCGACCGAGCGCCAGCTTCCAGAGAGAGCCTCCTGCCCTTGATTACATCTAGAAGCCAAGAACCGAGTGCCCCGCCCGCATTTACATCTGGATCTCAGGAGACATTCCAATGCCTACAATTAAATCTGAAACCCAGGAGATAGGGCCTCTTCCGCCTCGCCCCTCACCCCCCGTTTTACCTGGGACCCAGGAGCCCCCTGCTCACAATCTGGAACCCAGGTTTGAGCCCTTCCTGTCCCCAATTCGACCAGGACCCCAGGACACATAGCCCCTAGCCTTCATTCTACTTGGGACTCAGACCCCGAGCCCCTAATTTGTCTGGGTCCCAGGAGCCAGGCCCCAGCCCCTTGTTTTCTGGGTCCCAAGAACCTACAGCTCCCTGAGGCCCCAGGTTGGAGTCCTCAGGCCCTTCCCCAGGTCGCCGGAACTCTCATCCTTGGCCCTCCAAGGAACACGAAGTCCCAGCCCTCCAGCCCCTCTGGAGAGCCTGGACATCTGGCCCCCTGCCCTCAGTTCTCCCAAGGCCTCAAACGCCCAACCCTGGGAGGAGGAAAATGGGGGATGGTCTTGTCTCCTCGTCGCGACCCTCCTGCTGGGGAGCGGGGGGAGAAATTCCCCACATGCCTGAGCGGGGAAGCGGAGATGGAACCTCAGATCCGGGTTGACAGCTCAGTGCGGGGTGGGGTGGGGGGCGCGAAGGCTCAGATTTAACCCTTTTGGTGTTAGAGTCTGAGGAAGGGGGAGGGGATAACCGAGAAGTCCGGTGTAGGATGGATGGAGAGTTGGGATTAAGAAGGGTGGTGGTGGGCGGGGGGAGAGGGCTGCCGAGAGATAAGGGTCGGAGTCGGTGCGGCCGGCCGGGAAGGGGGCTCGAGGGAGGGGGCTCGGTGAACTGGGGGTAGAGCGGGGAGGGTGCTCGGTCTTTCCCCACTCGGAAGGTGGGGAAGGGGTTGGGTCCGCGCGGGGGGTGGGCGTCTGCGGTTTCTCACCGGTTTCCCGGAGCAGCAGCAGCAGCAGCAGCAGCGGCAGGAGTGGCAGCGTCGGCGACGATCTCGACGGCGAGAGGGCTGCGGCCCGGGCCATGGGGGGGCCCGGGGTGGGACTGGGCCCGGGCGGGGGCCTGCGGGCCACTCCGTGAGCGCCGATCGGCTGGGCGGTCGAGCAGGTGCCTGAGGGGCTCCGGCTCCCGGCCGGTTCCCGCCCGCTCTGCTCCCGCGGCTCTGCTCTCGGGGCCGGGCTCTCCCCGCTCGGCGCCCCCGGCCCCAGGCTTCTCTCTGGCAGCTCGGACTCGCTGACGTCACAGGACCCACCCCTTCCCTCCCCCCCCGCGGAGCCGACCTTGGGCTCCGGCCGCACTCGCTCACGCTGTCCCGCCCTCTCTGAGATTCCACGCTGGTCCTCCCCGGGATTTTATTCCCGCCCCCCCCAGCATTCTGCGCCCGCCCCCTCCCAGGGGTTTACACCTGCCTCTCCCCAGAATTCGATGTTGCCCCTCCCCCAGAATTCAATCTCCGCCTCCCCTGGAGCTCAAACCCCACCCCTTTTGCCCTCCCGGAGACCGCTCGCGCCCCGCCCCCGTCTCCGGGCGGCTGGTTGAGATTCGGTCACGCCCTCTCCAGAGTTTACAGCGGTCTCCGCCCCCCTGAGGCCACGCCTCCGCGACGGCCCCGCCCACCCGCTCTACTGGCAGTGGGTCCAGCCTCTTCCCGGGAACTCGGTCCCGCCTGGTCTCAGCCCCGCGCGAAGTTCTGTCCCCGCCTCTTCAGCTGTAGCTGAAGCGTCGTCACACCTGCGTGAGGCACGTGGGTTCTCATGGGCCCGCCCCCTCCTGGAGCCCCGCCCCCAAGCGGAAACCACCCCCCCCCCCCCTCCCATGCCCGCCAGGAGACTTTCCTAGTTCTTGCCCCTCGCCCAGTGCCTGTCTCGCTACTGGGTGCGTCTCGGTTTATCCTGTGTCTTTCTAAGCTCTGCCCCGGACTCTGGGCGTCGCTGCGCCATTCCTTTCCAGATTTCTCTTTGCCTCTCTGTGCTCTGGCTTTATGTCTCTCACAATCTTTGGATCTCCTTCGTCCCTTTATTTCTCTGCCTCTGGAGTCCGCACGTGTCAGAGTCGCTTTGTGTTTTCTGGTGTTTCTGCTCTTTGTCTTTCTAACAGCGTTCCTGTGTCACTTGGTCCCCGCGTCTCTTTCCATCCCTTTGACTCTGTCCCTGTGTCTCGATGTGCCTTCTTGTTTCTGTCTCTCTCGACGTCTCTGTTCCAGCCTCTGTTCTCTGTGGCTCTCGCTCCCCGCCAAACCCCCTGTCCTCTCCTGTATTCGGTCCCTACCTCCCCGTGACCGCGGCCTCCCGCCAGGGGGCAGCACAGACCGGCCCCCCGCGCTCCGCTAGCCCTGCGGGGCTGGGCTAGGGTCGGGCCTCCAGATTCCGCCGGTCCCTCCCCTTGTCCTTGTCCCACTTCTATCTTCCCAGCCTCCTCGCGTCTTTGTGTCTCTCGCTCTGACTCGGCCCCTTTGTCTCTCCCCGGAGGCTCCCGCTCCTCCCCACCCCCACCTACCTCTTCACATTCCTAGGGCTGACCGGGGGAGCTGGTGAGGCCGCCCAGTGTGGCAGGGTGAGGGCGGGAAGCGGGAGGCTGAGGGAGGGGATGCCACTGAGCCCCTGAAATCCCTCCTTTCCCTTTCCTCTAGGGTGAGGGTGTCGCCGATCAGCTGGGCGCAGATGCTTGAGACCTTCTTGTCCCCACCAAGAGGAGCCCCTAGACTTGCCCTCCTTCCCCACAGCACACGCCCCAGCTTTGCTCCCCACAGGGCGAGGTCTCAAGTAGGGGAGACTCTTACTGACCTGCCTTCTCTTGGTAATGATACTATTAATAACCGTATTTAGCACTTACTGTGTGCCACGTACACATTTAAGTGCAGTATATTATCTCAAATAACCCACACCTGACCCTATGTGATAAGGAAACTGAGGCACAGAGAGATGAAAGTGACATGGCCCAACAAAGTTACAAAATGGCAAATCCAGGGGCGCCTGGGTGGCTCAGTCGTTAAGCGTCCGACTTCCGCTCAGGTCGTGATCACGCGGTTCCCGAGCTGGAGGCCCACGTTGCGCTCTGTGCTGACAGCTCGGAGCCTGGAGCCTGCTTCGGATTCTGTCTCCCTCTCTCTGCCCCTCCCCTGCTTTCACTCTGTCTCTCTCTCTCTCTCTAAATTAAATATATATTTTTTAATGGCAAATCCAGATCTGACATATCTTAGTGAATTCCTCGCAAGAATCCCACGGAGGAGACACTGTCGTGATCCCCATCTGACTGAAAAGTGCACTGAGCACAGGGTGGCCATTGGCCCCAAGCCACCCAGCAAGGAAGTAGCAAGCAGGGATTTGAACCCAGGCAGTCCGTGCTCTTATATCCTCTCTACCCTACATGTCCTTCAGATAGCATGTATCTCAGGCTTGGCACAAGCCTGGTATGAGCCCAGCTGGATAAATGTGGGTAGTAAATGTGATCTCCCTGGCCTCTCCCCAGTCTGGAGCCAGCCTAGAGGGTCAGGATCTCTGGCTGTTAGTGAGGGCTTTGCCACTAATTTGCTCTGTAATATCCTTGCCTCTGTCCCCACTCCCCTCTCTCCCTTCAACAAAATACCCAGTCCCCAGGGAGATTTCTTCCAGAAGGGCCCGCAGCACCTGCTCTTTTCTGGCCCTGTCAGTGAGTGAGCTCAGCTTTTCTTTCTGGCTGTTCTTTGTCGGGTATGTTTGAGCCCAGGAGGGAAGCCCCAGGAAGGTAAGCTGGACTTTAACGCCCCTTCACAGGCGGAAGGGGACATACATGAGGCTGCGCACTGCCATGCTGATTGACAAATGCCTGGGTGGGTCTCATGCCTGAGGAGTCAACTTTCAGCGTCGAGAAGTCCCATGGCACTTCGCTGAAGAGCCATAGCCTCCGGGAGGTATAGGCACAAGGCCAAGGTCTTTCTCTGATAGAGCTTTGAAGTTGGTGCCAAATACTTACCTGCCTGGCAACCTGTAACCTCTTTTTCTTCTTCCAACAGTCTACTACCCTACTACCAAGTTTTCCTATAGGGCATTCCCTACACTCAAGTCTTTTTGGTTCAGAGGGAGCCTGATCCTGTCCTGGCCAATCAGTGCATTTGATCCCTTGGCCACTGGGATTGGTTCAAAGGTGGGGGTGGGGCCCATTCCAGTCCAATGGGAATTAGCCCTGAGACTTCCTCTTGAATTAATACTAAAGGAACACAATTTTTTTGATATGACTTTTATTTTGTTTTATTTTATTTTATTTTATTTTATTTTATTTTATTTTATTTTATTATTATTTCTTTTTTTTAAGTAGGCTTCACACCCCGACATAGGGCTTGAGTTCAGGGCCCCGATGACAACAGGACTTGAGCTGAGATCAAGAGTCAGATGCTTGGAGTACTTGGGTGGCTCGGTCAGTTAAGTGACTGACTCTTGACTTCATTTCAGGTCATGATCTCATGGTTCAGTTCATGAGACCGAGCCCCACATTGGGTTGCTTGCTGAGAGTGAGAGCTCAGAACCAGTTTGGGATTCTCTCTCTCTCTCTGCCCCTCCCACTCTCTCTCTCTCTTTCAAAAGAAATAAATAAACTGGGGGAAAAAAAGAAAAAAAGTCAGATGCTTAACTGACTGAGCCACCCAAGCACCCCAGGACAGCTTTCTGATGAGACTATTTGAGCCCCTGGATCCAGCTATGCCTGAAGATAGTCAGCCTGGTTATACGAGTGAATAATTTCCCTTTTCATTTACACGAATTTTTTACTTCCTTTTTTTTTTTTTTTTTTTTTTGGTCGTTTGCAGCCAAACATATCCTTACTAATAAAAGCTATGGGAGCCCAAAAAAGGCACAGATTCCTGTAAAGTTGCCAGGGCAGGAAAAGGGGAGTGAAAACTTTTCAGAATCCTTCCAGATGCCCAGGCTTTGAAGGACAGGCAAGCTTTATGACAATGGGGGAAACCGGGAAGGGCATTCCAGGAATAGTAAAGCCATGAAGACACAAGGCAGGGGCATGTGTGAGAGAGGGAGGGGTGGGCTGTGTGTGAGGGGCAACATCTTAGGTCCTAAATGCCGGGTGAAGGGCGGTTCATGCACTTGAGAGCAATAGGGAGCCACAGAAGGTTGTAAACAAGGGTAGCTTACTGCAAACTTGCTTTTACTTCCCGGAGCCCCAGATCCTGCAGGAGATCCCTCTTGCCCCTTCCCCCAGACCCTTGTCCAAGGTGGGGGGGTCAGGCTGAGGGCACAGGCTGCCATCTGTATGCAAATTGCCTGGGACGCCAGACAGATGAGGGACCTTATGCAAATGTACGTCTTCCAGGGAGGAGGGCTGGGACCCTCCTCTCATTAACCCAAGGACCAGGTGCTGAGCACCCCCTTCCTCCCTGGGGTCCCCTCTCTTCCCTCCCCCTAGCCATCTGCTCACCCCCTCTCCAGCTCCCCAGATCCCTCCTGACCAATGTCTGTTCTCACAGTGGTCTCTCTCTCTCCACCTGGTCTCTTCCCTGGACCAAAGGACCCTCTTTTGCTTTTCTCTCTTTCCCTCCATTTTCCTCGGATGATGATACTAATAATAAACACATACCGAAAACATACTCTGTGACAGGCTTTGTAGAAACACTTTGCATGGTTATCAAATTCTCTCAACTAGTCTATGACCCTCTATATGTTTCTGCTGTATTTTTTTTTTTTTTAATATTCACTTCTGCCATATAGAAAACAAGAAAACCGCACAAATAAGGAGACAGATAGGTGGTGAAACAAAGGATAGAACTGAAGAGGCGACTCGCAGGGGCGCCAGGGGGGATGGCTCAGTCAGTTGAGCGTCCACTCTTGATTTCGGCTCCAGTCATAATCTCACGGTTGGTGAGTTCAAGCCCTGTTATCAAGCTCTGCAGTGACAGTATGGAGCCTGTTTGGGATTTCCTCGCTCTCTCTCTCTCTCTCTCTCTCCGCCTTCCCCTCTCATGTGCACTCTCTCTCTCGAAATAAATAAATAAACTTTAAAAAAAAAAAAAAAAGAGAAGCAACTCATGGGGCCTGGTAGACTTATTAAGAATAATTTGGGGGCGCCTGGGTGGCTCAGTCGGTTAAGCGTCTGACTTCGGCTCAGGTCATGATCTCACAGTGCATGAGTTCGAGCCCCGCGTCGGGCTCTGGGCTGATGGCTCAGAGCCTGGAGCTTGCTTCTGATTCTGTGTCTCCCTCTCTCTCTGCCCCTCCCCCGTTCATGCTCTGTCTCTCTCTCTGTCTCAAAAATAAATAGACGTTAAAAAAAAATTAAAAAAAAAAAAAGAATAATTTGAACAT